ATAGTAGCATTTTAAATACGTTTTTATTATTATTGTTATTTTTAGAGAGAGATAGAAATATCAATGTGAGAGAGACACATTCATCAGCTGCCTCCTGAACACCCCCTACTGGGATGGAGCCCGAAACCCAGGCATCTGCCCTGACCAGAATCGAAATGGGACCTGTCAGTCCAGGGGACGATGCTCAATCCACTGAGCCACACTGGCTGGGCTAGTTAAAACATTTTAGAATTTATTACTATACAAACACAAGCACCTATTTTTTTTCTACAAAAGATGTGCAGAGTGTGTGTATGTCAACTCAGAGCTCATTTATTTACATCAGACACTTTCTGGAATGGAGGTGGGGAGAATGGAAGGGAAGAAGGAAGAAAGGGAAAAGGGGAGGGTAAGGTAGGGCAGGGGCAGAAAAAGGGAAGGGAAGAAGGAGAGAGAGGAAGAGAAGTAGAAGGAAGAAGAAGAGAGAGTAAGAATAAGAAAAGAGAGGAGGGGGAGTGGGGGGCTGAGGAGGTGGAGAAGGGAGGGAGGTAGGAGAGAGAGAAAGGCCTCATTATTATTTTAGATAGTCTAATTCTGAACTGATCTTTGAGCAATTACAAACCTTTTAGTTGCTTAGGAGCAGCTCTTCTGCGTCTGCTCTCTTCCTCTTGCCCAAATTTCCCTGCTTGTTCAGTTTATGAGCAGTCACTAACCTAGTTTTCCCACTTCACGTTTGATATCCCAGCAGGTCTGGTAATGCACACCCATGCATGCACATAGGCACATTTTCCTGGGTGAGGTATCAACATTGAAAGCTACAATGTAATACCAAAAATGTTTCAGCACACTCTTCATTTAAGCTACCTTCCTATGTACTCCTAACCCTGATTTAATTGTACTTTCTTGCAAACCTGGATAACCTTTGGTTTTCATTTTAAGAAGACTGTTTATATGTGCTCTGCTAGGTTTCCCCACACCTCAAAAAAATAAGTGAAGAAAATGGGGCAAGCTGCTCAGCACAGATGAGGAACAGGAACACTCTGTACTTGTCAAAACAGACTATTTCATCTTTCATTTTGGTCCATAAAACCAAGAAGCAAAAGTTCATGGTGGTTTTATTCATTTTTCCAAGCACCGAGTTTGACTATGGGATAGAGAAGAGTATGCTAACGAATAGTCTATATGTAACTTTCTTTCTCTCTCTGGCTCGCTCTCATGATACTTTCATGGTGAAAATTATAGGTCAAATTGCATGTGAGAATAAAGAAGAGAAAATTCCCCCTGTCAATGGAGCAGAAATGTAAAATCATGACTTGAAAATGTGCTTAATGAACTATCTCATGTAGTACTCACACAAATTGAGTGCAGTGTGTCCACTGTAAATACTTGAATATAACCCTAAGAAAATATGCTCATAGATTTGTGATCACATTTCTAGAGGTAAAAGTATTTCTTAGCTTCCACAGGTGCAGATGAGTAGTATTTTCCCTTACCTATATCCTTGAAAAAAAACATAGGTTATATTCCAAAATGTCACATTTTACAAAAGGTTTAGATAGCTGTTGCATATACACAATCAACGTTTTAATCATTTATTTCGAAAAGTGATTGCACACAATGAAATTGAAATATGTACAAGCTGAAACATCCTTTCAGTTTTCAGGCAATCTCATTAAGTGATGAAGAGTTTACTCAGCAGTTAATCTCCCCTTTCGAGTTGTCATTGAACAAAGAAGGAGAATCATGCCATTAATTGCCCTTTAGAAAGAGAGTTAGGTTTGGTTATTCTAAAACACACTAAACAAGACCAAGTTAAGAGACCCAGCAATAACTATTCTTTTAATACTCCTATAAAAAAACAAAACAAAACATTGTGCTGTATTAAAATACATATTTTTTCATGGAGAGGTGAACATAGAACAAGAACAGCAAAAGATCAATAATTCTTGAAACTAAAAGATGGAAAAATGGGGGTTGTTATACTAGTCTCTTTACTTTTGAGACAACTTGAAATTGTGCACAATAAGAAGTCATAACAAAAGCAAACCCATATATTTCACTTACATGTGGAATCTAATGAACAAAACAAACCAACAAAATAAAAGCAGACTCATAGATACAGAGAACAGTCTGACCTGTCAGAGGGGAGGGGGCTGGAGAGCTGGGCGATGGGATTAAGCAAAAAATACAAAAAAAAAAAACTCATGGACACAGACAACAGTATGGTGATTACCAGAGAAAAGGGGGGCGGCAGGTGGAAGAGGGTAAATGGGGAATAAATGGTGAGGAAAGGGGACTAGACTTTGGATAGCGAGTGCACAATGCAATATGTAGATTATTATACAATTTTACACTTGCAACCAATGTAATTTTACTGAGCAATGTAAGCCCAATAAATTCAACAAAAACAACAAAAATGCATAGCAGTAAAGGGGTACAAGCTTTTCTGAAGGTCGCCTGACTTCCTTGGATTTGAGGGACCAGCTGACATAGGAAAGCTGAAAACTGAAAACTCAGGACAAGAATGAAACTTGTCAGCATATGAGTGCTTCCCTGGGCACACTCTGGGCTGGGGCCTGGGAGCGCAGAACTAGAGCCAGTGAACAGGCAACTGAATTTTATACATTCTTGGCAAATGAGAATTCTCAGAGTGATTGCTTAACTTCTATATTTTTGTGCATTTCTTGGTGCTGACTACCCATGCAAGTAGCTCATTTTGATCCTGTCTGAGTTAGGTAACACAACCAAATTTAAATAATGACCAATATTTATTAAGGTTTACTATGTGCCCGCCATATGCTAATCATTTTACATGAATTGTTTTATTTAATCTCTCCTGACAAACCAACAAGATAGGTATCATTTCCTTTGGTAGGTGTGAAAGCTGACATAGGTAGGCTAAGTCATTTAGCTAAAGTTCTAGCTCTAGAACACAAGCCATGCCATTCTGACTCTAGAACCCATGTACTAACCACTAGAACAGTTCAAGATCTCTTGACACTCACAGTATTAATTTGATTACATCGTCAAATCTCAGTTTGGATCCCCTTTAGCTGTTCCTGTGTTCTAGGGCCTTTCACTTAACAACCCTAATACTGCCTGTTCTTATTCCTGTGATCCTCTGATGCTCTGTGGTTTAGTCTCTCATGGATGTATTTCCTCTTCTACCTAGAAGCCCATGTAGACCCATGTATTGAAGCAGAGCTCAAAGAATCAATAAATCAATGTGACTATTTCAACTGTAGGGGAATAAAACAATGACAATTTTAGGTTATAGAAGTACAACGATTGTTCTTGGGCTCGCCAATATGTATCCTTTCTAGACTCTCACTAGGACTTGTGGATTATTTTTTCTAGGAAAACAGATGATTAAAAGGACAATTTAGCCATCATTGTTTTAGGGCTATGAGCCAGCCACTGTGCTTCGACCCAGGCACTGGATATATTCACATTGACTCATTTAATGAAAGAACAGCACTAGGAGGAAGATAACATCACTCCAATTTCCTGCATAAACCTAGAGTCATCGCACACCTCACTTAAGGTTTGACAACTAGTAAAGACAGACCCAAGATTCAGAGCCAAGGTTTGAACTAAACTTTTCTGAATCCAAAGCCCACAGCCAAAGTGAAACACATTGGAAAGGAATGATATAGTCTCACCACTTTTCTCATGGAAGGACAATGACAAATTATTTCTGTTGGTGGACTTTCACTAATATAACTGAGCACATGTCACTTAGATCTTGATGAACCTCATCTGGAAATGTATCCATCAAGTTGAACGTTTTCTCAATCCATGCTCCCTTTACTTACCCTAGCCTCTGGCCACTTGCTTAAAATGGGCTTCCAGTCAGACATAGGCGACCAAGTCAGTGGAACATTTTCTGGTTGCAATTATGCTTTTGCAAAGTCTATGAATAGAAAAAGACTGGTTCCGTTCATTATAGCTAGTAAACCCTAGTCATAATTTTGCAACATTGCTTGATAACGATTAAATAAATCTTTTTTTATTGTAGACTTTAATGTAGAATTACTAAGTCTAGAAGGCAGCGAATAGTATAGCTCTCAAAGGGAAGGAGGCGGACTTTGCTAAGCCCCTACTCTGTATTAGTCACAATGAAAACACTTTATATTATTTCATTTTCCCCCTAAACTACATTGAAGGGCAAAGTCATTGAGGTGTCACTTTTTTTTTTTTTCTCCAGGTGAGGAAGCCAAATCTCAGAGGTTGTGAACTTTGTCTATACATGGTGAGCGGTTCAGGTGAGGTTCCAACCCAGCTCTGTCTAGCCTCAGTGTCTGTACCCTCTCCATCACACCCCACTGACCTCCACGTCAGCAACGCCTGACTCCTAACATGATTAGAAATGCATTGGCCAAGTTGTCATCAAGCTCCTTGCATCTTTGTTTTCTAATCTTTGAGATAAAAAAATACTATCTAACAATCAGGGGTTAAACAGACAACACAGATCCAAAACACTTAAGACAGTGCCTGTCACTGTCATGGGCATTAATAAGTGATGGCTTTCCTTTACATCAATGATCTGAGACAGCCACCAAAAAGAGGTACTTCCCATGGTTTGACATCATTCAGCCTCATTTTTTTTCTTTCCATTCCCATGATAGTGAATAGCAAAACCATTCCATTAATGAAATATAAAAAAACAGGGTTTTTTATATTTGTCTTCAATTCCAACTCTTTGAAAACTATTAACCAATATATATTTGGGTACACCTGTTCAGTTAACCCACATTTCTGGGTCATGGTAAAAATGTTGGGTGTCATGATGGATTATCCAATTAATTAATTAATTTTTGTTACAGATGTCCCCCCCCCCCCCCCCGCCCTGGCCCACCCTTAGTGCTTTTTTTTTAAATGTCACTAAGGCAGGAGGCTTAGAAAGAAGGCATCTGAACCTTTCCGGTGCTTACGGCACTTCGTTAACATGGTTCTGGAAAACTGTTCAAAGTTTGTGGACTTGCATAAATTACTTAAAACTTACCAAACACTTTTTAAAACACAGAATCCAATAATATTTTCCAGAATAGAATGGTTTTGTCACCTTACCTGTTAAGAAAAGTGTTTTCTTTCTTGTTTACTCTATCGAAGCAATCTAAGTAATGCTTTGGTTGACAGACCAAATTGTTTAGCCCAAAAATATGCCACATTTGACAAGCTTATGTAAGTATCTGATTAGAATCTTTTATTTCACAAGAAAGTACTTCTAGCTTACTTTTAATAAGATCTGACATGTTTAGCTTCATTCTGAGATCTTTTACCAAATGTTTAGAAAATAAAAAAATGCATCATCATACAAGGTTTTGGGAAGAACATTTTATTGCTAAGCATATCCTTGAACGAAAATGCAAATATGAAATAAAAGAGAAAAGGAAAAAAAAAGCAGTAACGTCACAACATCATAAAATAAATTCCTTAAGAGTCTGTTCATAAAACAACAGGAATATGATAGAAGCTCACATACAGAATGCACATGTTCCCATAAAATTGTCCAAATAGAACTTACACTAAAAGGAATATAACAAATGTATCTTTACTCAAATTTTTAAAAAATGTAAAGAAAAAGGCAGAAAATCAATTCACAAGACCTCAAGACTCCAAGAACAGCAATCTTTTAAAGACATCGAGATATAATCAACTTCATATAGGCTGGGCCATTTAGGTTATCTAAAATCGTGCTTTGATCTCTCTTTATAATCCTGTCTTTCTTAATGACCAAAAAAAAGAAAAGAAAAGAAAAAATCCAAAACTCTTAACACATTGAAATATCAAATAATGAGGAACACCTCTTTCCATACACATTAGTAAAGGCTACCATTGTTGAGATTGCGCTTTTTGCCCCATTTCATCAAGGTATTTTTTTCAAAGTCAAATATTCATGCAACTTACAAAGACCAGCAAGAGTAGATTTCTAAATCTAAACAGCTGATTGATTTTCATCTGTACAAAAGAAATCATATATATCTGACCCATCCAGAAGACACACTTCACTTGTGTGTGACTATTTGTCTTGCTGTGTCTCTTGCCTTTTGGATAGCTATGGCCACACAACCAATTTATTGTTTCTCTGTACATTGTTTCCTCTTTACAAAAAGAAAGAAAGACAACTGGAATACAAACCAAACAACTGAGGTAAACAAATAGCAAGGAAAGAACAGTTCTTAAAGCAGTATATATATATATATAGGTGGCTAAGGAATTATACCAGCAAAAATGTAGTAAAATATGTAAACAAAATCTGAGAAGTTTTTTTTTTTTTAATTCTCTTTGACACAGTTAACTGTGACAAAACTAAAACTCACACTTGCTTCACATTTTAAGGTTTACTGTTTTGTTGTTTTGTTATTTTCTTTTAAAACAACATTCTCATTCTACTTCAAGACTTGAACAGGTTTCCTGTTTCAGTCATCCCATCAAACATACCATGATAAATATATCTGTATATATATTTATTTATATATATTATACTATTAAATTCCTTTTTTTGTGTGTCACAGCAGCTTTATTCATTTGTTATTTATGTATTTAGTTTTAGAAAAGATGGGCGGAGGGAGACATGAGCAAATGGAAGGATAGAGTTATCCGTAAGTGTCAGGCTACAAAATTAAACCACAATGAAAAAAACATTATCACGTTGGGGGCGGGGAAAGAACTATGTATTTTGCACTCTCTTCATGCCATGTTTGGCTTGTGTGACCTTTTGTGGGTTCCATCACAAGTTGAACTCCCCTACTGTCTGTTTTGATTATTTAACAGACTTTTAGTATTGTTTCTTCTTCTCTATTTGCATGCATTTCAGTCAGTCACAGATCCAGCCCACCCCCTCCCTTCCCCTTCTGTAGGAAAGGCTTGGTTTTAGTCTGTGGGGCTTTCAACTTGGCTACCCTTTGGCTGGGCTAATGGACAGGAACACTATTGTTCAGTGAACCTAATAGCTCTGTGGAACCAGCCCTAACCCGGTCTATTCAGGGTGTGGGTAGCCAATTCTGGAATTAGATCCTGAGGGACCAGCTTTTCAAATCAACAGTATCACCCGTCATGATTTTGCTATGTGTTCAGCAAAGCATCGTATAGGAAACAAACAACAGAGTCTAAAAACACCACAACCTGATATGTAGAGTGAACACCATGGTAGCTTTTGAGTTCATATGGCAATAGTCTCTCTCACTTTAGTTTTCTGCTTTTTTTTTTTTTTTCCTCTTCTTCTTAACGTTGGTCCAGTCATCCTCCAAAAATAAACAAAAACCCAAAAGCCACTTTTTCCCCTCAGATCTTGAAAAGTTACACACACTGGCCAGAACCAGATAAGGGTGATATTTTTTTGTTGTTGTTTTGTTTTTGTTTTTTTTAACTTTTTTCTCTGTTTTTTTTTTGTTTTTTACAGAATTAAACAAACAAACAAAAAAAGAAACATCGTTACAGTCAAGCTTCACAAACATTGTTACAGACTCACTTGGAGTTATGGAACAAGTAAGCCAGGAAGTCTTCTACCTTGGCTGGAAGGTCCTGGCGAGCAGGAAGCCCCCGAGTCCGCGAGCGCAGGGGGCCCCCTGCTGGCTGCCGAGCGCACAGCGTGTGCTTCATGGTCCAGCAGGGCAGAAAGGACTGGGCTCCGGGCGCTGACCGCCGCAGAGCAGCCTCGGCGGAACTGTGAACAGGCCGATGCCTCTTGGTGCGTGTCCTTTGAGAAACGGTTTTCCCCACCGTAGTCACGGGGTAGACCCCACCTCGTGGTTGGAACAGGTCCGACATCTGTGAAATCTCACTTTCCAAGTCTGTGGGGACGGCTGTGGAAATCACTGCTGGGATGCCGGCGGGCGAGCGGCGGCCCCTTCACACGTAGTACTCCTTGTCCTTGTTTTTCTGCTTCTTGTGGCCGCCCTTGGAGCTCGGCTGCTTCTCCTTGAGCAGCGTGCCGTTGCTCTGGGCCGAGTTGCTGATGTAGTTCCGCGTCTCGTCCACCTGGTAGGACCCCTCGTCCCTGTTCCTGTACTTGTACATGGCGTACAGGAGGATCAAGATGCAGAGCGCGGCAGCGGCCACAATGCCGACGACCATCCCTGTGGTACTGCTCGACTCCCGGATCACCTCTGAGGCCCCCGGAACCCGTCTGACTCCCGGCTCCGTGGGGTTTGCTGTGGGCACATTACGGAACATGGGGGAAGTAATTAGTGGGCTCTTCAGTTTGGTGCTGTCTAGCTCATAGGCAGTGGGCAACGGGAGCAAGACTAGATCAGGCTGGGGTTTGAGATCACGGTTATTCATTTTGCCAGCTGGCAATTTGGGCACCATCCCAGACGAGGAGGAAGCGGTGAAGCGGATCAGCTCAGGGGACAAAGATGTGGTAGTAGTCCTACTAGTTTCCGAGACTTTGTTAGGTCTAAAGTCCTTGGATTCCCACTTGGGCGCATGTGCTTTGTAGCCACCTTCGAAGATTGAAGTGGAAAGACTCTTATCTGTTACCAAGGAGAAGGTGGTGTAAAAATCTTCATCATCAGTAGGGGGCAGGTTAGAGTCAAAGGTTTCCCCTGAGCCATACCCAGATATCACCAAGCCATCATCATCACAACCATCGCTGCCATGGTCCGACAAGCAAGGTAACCCCGCCTCAGAGGTCATGGACAGGGAATCTTTGGTGGTCTCATTAATGGTGAGGAGGGGGCGAAAGGTAGGGGGGAGTGTAATGGAAGGTGCACGAGTAGCAATAGGAAGGGTAGCTAAAGGGTCTTCTACAAGAAGAGGGATAACTAATTCACCTCCTGGGATTGAAAAGAAAGAGAAACAAAGAATTAGCATGTATGTAGATAAACACAGTTCAGTCACTCTCAATGAATGGAGTTCATAGATTACACCTCAGAAACGATAATAAAATAACCCGAATCCACGTGTGGATCCTTTCTAGTGGCAGCCTAACCCTTCTAAGCTGATTTAGAGCCCATGATATGCCTCTTGCCACCAAAACCTGAAATCTATAGATAGTGGCAGGGGTGCAAATGTTAAAGATACTCTCAAGTAATTATTTAGATAGATTTCAAATAGACTTGTTTCCAGGATTTGCTTATGGGATGATAATATTCAATTATACTATAGCCAATACTGACTGGCTATCAAAATTGTGTGTGTGTGTGTGTGTGTGTGTGTGTGTGCACAGAGACACGCATGTGATTGATTCATGAACCATAACATTTCTTTATTGCTTTGGATTTCTATTTATTTGTTCCCACGAGGATGAGAATGACCTGGTCTCCATGTCACTGAGACCAAGCTCAAGGAACATGAAAGACCCTGTCTTTAATATTTTAAGTTACCACCTTTTACTTTACATATATTAAATACAGTCTTCATTTACCACAGGCTAAGTGAGGCAAGTTAAAAGAAGTTAAAACTGCTCATCTAACAAACCCATTTTGACCATGCATTTCCAGAAATTCCCCTGACTCTTAAATGACAACCCACCTTGCATTGGTCTAATACTTTGTTAATGTATTGCTTTTATGCTATACGCAAATATCCTGAGCTGGATGCTAGATTTAAAAAATACCCAGCCTAGACAGCTGTGACTTACTGGAAACTTTTAGCTTCAGAAAGGTAGCGATAGCAAAATGGGTTTTGAACATCTGTGATTCTTGACCAGAAGGGCAAAAAATAGATCAGTTGACCTACAAACCCTATCTACTGCACTTATAAACATGTGGACTAGGTCAGGAAAGAAATTTCAGATAGTTCATTAAATCCTAGTGCCTTACAGATCATGAATACCACAAATATTCTATAGTGGATCTTACTCACCTAACTGTTGGACCATTTGTCTCTTTACAGTATTCTTTTTCAAACAGAGGAAGAATCTCAGGAAGTCACAGTTCATGTCTCCTCACTGAATTTTGTTCAAATATTTATTTCAATTATTGTTTTTAAAAACCCTCTAGCAAGGATGGCATGGCGGTGCTCTGTCCAGTTAGTCCATCAGTTGAGATGCTGATATAATATCACTGAACCTCCTTCTGAGCTGGGTCACTAAGCTCTCAACCAGGTGCAATGTTTTGTGTGTTCTTCCTGCAGTCGTAACTTTGCCCTGATGGGATGGCTGGTGCCACTTATTGGTGATAAAGCCAGACATGTGGCTCAATACTGCAAAATTCAAGGGATATTCCAGGTGGACGAGTCTTTGAATTTACACGGTCTTCCCAGGATATTCCTGTAAAGACTGACTCACAAATTAGAACCCTCTACTGTGCTTTCTACACCTTATATCTTTAAACATTTCTTGTGCCTCTGTGGAAACTGTTGCATCTAGTGTCCAGATTTCAGGTGCACTAAGAGAATGGTCTCTTGAGAAGAAACCTATTGCATACCTTCCCAACACCTGAGAAGAACTGCTTGCGTCCATGTCAGAAGCCTTTCCTCCCTGCCTACGTAGCCAGTTACACTGTGTTACACAGAGAGACATTGAGTTGGGAGGGTGGCAATAATATACATCATGTGCATCATTTGGAAGGCAAGGGGCAATAGAACATTGTACAGTCATCTCTGGCCTAGCCGATAATGTTACCATATGTGGGGGAAATGAAGCAAGAACCTTTCCGAGAATCTCAAAATGATATTTTGGTCTGTGCTCGACAGCCTGGCTTCTCTTCTGGTGCTTGGAGTTTGAAACTATAGAGCGAAGTGATCTTTGCGGTTCCGTCAAAGCTTCAGACTTGCTTCGCTGGGTCTGCGTGCCTGTTTTTTTACATTGTGAACATGTATAATTCAGACACCTTGCAACTTATTTAATGTATAATTTACACACTTTTGCTAGTTTTTATAAGTGGGATTTGGAGCATGTTTCCCTAAAGGTAAACCAGTCGTAAAACTAACCCTGGGCTAACTTTTCTCCTTATTCTTCTAGCACAGCGTCCCAAGTGTTATATGTAAGGTGATATATGGAAAAGGCAGTGTTTGAATAAAAGTAGAGCAGCGAGGAGGGAGAAGTAGAGGCCCATGCCATCTGTTTAAAGGCTCCCTGGAGATCACTCAGGGACGATGTTACTTTCCTTCAGAGAACAAGACAGTTCTTACACATCTCACCTGGAACAAAAGTTTAGAATGTGTTCTTTTTGGACATAAACACACAGTCACTTGTTGCTTGGGGCAATGATAAAACTCTACCCAAATTGCATTAAGCAGAGAGGAGACTGGGGTAAAGGACAAGGAAAAACTGATTTGTTGGGAGACAAAAGCCGGGTGCACATAATCTAAATATAAAGGCAAATTGTGAGATTAAGATCACTGTCTTCATGATTACAGAGTGGCATTCATTTGCACTTTGAGTGTACCATCTGGGACACCCAACTGGAGTCTTAAATTTGCCTATTTCCCCCTCTCTTTCCAACCTTAGCTAAAGCTTCCATAGTGTTTCTGCTGTTGAAAATCTACAAAATCTACACTCTGTTCAGTCTGCAGCTGAATTACTGCCACCCTCCTTTGGTGTTCCCTTCTCTCCACGCCCTAATGTGGGTATCTCTCCTGCATTACACAGAAATAAAATAAACTAATAATGTAAAAAAATAAAAACCACCCTTTTCAGAATGGGCTGGAAAGAGGGTCCCGAAACTCGCTAATTTCTAAAGAGTTTCTAAAAGGTTGGTGAGCGCCTAAGTGAACTGAGAAGCACTTATTTCAAAACTAAAACAAGGGGTATGCAATTGAAGCGTTTAAATAACAGGAGCTGCCAAAACTTCTAGTCTTGGGTTTTCTTTGCCATTTTGTGTTTATCCTGGTAGCATGATAAAAATGATAAGCAATGCCCTGTGACAGGGAAATCTGAGCCCAAATTCTGGGGGTATTTAATCAGTGAAATGGCAGAAACTTTCATAACCCGCCCCCTTCCTGGCATCTCATGGAAGAGAATCTTTAGTTTAAAAGGAAGTCAAATGGGATCAGGGAGCATTAAAACAAATTAGAATTATAGTAAAAACAGGTGGACGATTTTAGGTAACTGTGAACAGAAAGGTGCCTGGGACAGGTGTATGAGTTGGGGTGTATAATCAATTTTAACATTCATTTCCGGCTTTAAGAGTTAAGATGACAATAGTATCCTGGAAAGTCCATGGGCACACACCATTTGACATGAAGAGTTGAAGGATGTATTTCTCCCATTATTAGATCCTTAATAGAAATGACATAGACTTTGAAGTCTATTTAAGACTTTGTTTGTTTTAATCCAAAGTGACTATCCTCAGAAACGTTGGAGCAGCTGATGGTAATTTTGTTTCACTGCCCAAAGATTATGAAGGCAGTGATCTACCAGATGTCTACACTCACACAACATCATAGAAGCCTAACGTCAGGAGGGCTTGGTTACAAGCAGACTGATACAAAACCTGTCATCCACCAAAACTTTAATTTCCTATTCGATCTCCAGAATTTTTCTTTGGTTTGGAAAAAGATTTGTATTCCTTAAAGTTGCCATTTTAAATCAGGAATATATACCTCTTTTTTTTTTTTTAAACAGGGCTCTGTTTTTCTTTAAACTAGAGAGATCACTAGGGATATAAAAGGTCTATTTTAGCCCCGAAGGCTGCCCTGCTTTTTTGCTTTATGAGTGTATTTATAGATATATAATTCATGTGTCTAGGACTGATATCCAGCAAAAGGGGCTCTCTGCCTCAGAAACAAAGATAGTGGACTAAAAATTTAATAGAACTCTGCTGACTTGTGAGGATGATGTGGGTTGTGGTGAACATAGTGGGTCATCTATAAAAACAAGAGCAGCAGGAAGTTTCCCTGTGGCTCCCACCTCGCCTCTCTGGAGATGTTTGAATCTAAGGAGTCACAAAAACCCCTAAACAAGGATATTGAGGAGCTAGACTCTGGGAGAGGAAACCGTGTTGCAATTTCATGAGTTTCTTTTATATATACTTAGGTTCTTTAGGTAATCTCTTAGTTGTGCTGGGAAATTCACATATAATGGGGAGAAAGCATTCTTTTCCCACTAAATGAGTTGTTGAATGATATTCATGGATTTAGTAATTTGGTGCCACCGAAATGTTTACTGAAATATTCAAAATAAATATCCCAAAGCTTGTAATCGTAAAGTTGTTCTTCATTCACCCTCAGAAAAAACAACCATGGATAGACATGGCTAGTACCTGGAGAGAAGACATTAGAGAAAACACACGTGTCTCAAAGGGGTTAACTCACATTTTAGTGAGATGAGACTCTTTAGGAAGGACCTCTTCCCATTGAGTTTGTCTGATTCTCTAAGACTAAGGCTACAGATTCTACTTTTCAACATATGCCCAGGTAAGATGAGCCAAACCCCTTGATATCATTATCCATTGTAAAATAAGACATGTCAAGTGGAGTTTTTCACTCGCTTATTGATTAAGAGCTTTGCCTCTGAAGTCACCCAGACTCAAGTAAACAGCACAGCTCTGGTGCTTATTAGCCATATGAGTTTGGTCAAGTTGCTTAAACTCTCTGTAAAATGGGAATAACAACACAGCCTACTTCAAGCCACCACTGTGAATAATAACAATAAACATTAATATTATTTCTAATGCAAGGTAAATATTTAACACAGAGCCTATTGCTACGCCAAAATGCTAGTTACTAGCATCATTTTTTGCTAATATTTTAGGTCTATAAACACTAAAACCATTGATAACTTCTTCTGACCATTTTTTAAAACAATATATAGTATTTGCATGCTAGGATCCAGATTATTAAAGGTATTTTAAATGCAGAATTTGAGGAATGATTTATTATAGTTCAAAGA